TTAAATTTTGAATTGCAGTAATGTCGTGTAAATATAAAGGCAAGCAAAAAAATAGTCGAACTAATGATATAAATTGAGCCCTTTTAAAGGTGGTATCACTTACGCTGGAACTAGAAAAACAAACACGTATGGCGAGTAAATTCCCTTAGGTAAGTCAGGACTCGTTGAAAAGACCCCAAGTCAATGTAATAAATCAATGTATCAATATTCCACTTCACCGAATTAGAATATAGAAGACAACTAATATAAATCAATTATAGAATGTGACCAGAAATTAGGGCACACTGTAGGACAGAACCACGACATATCGAACAATGTTGATTCGGATTCTTCTGCAGCCATGGTTGGATGCAATCGCTGTGGTGTACGTGTCCACCCGGAGTCAGAATTCCAACAATGTCCCTGTCCTAAAGTTCTTTTTGCAATTAGCACGTGAACCACGGTCTCGCAGACTAGTTGCTAAAATCCAGAGGCGTTGAGCCTACACCGGTGGTTCCCTTGTCAGAGTTTGTGACCGGAGAGTACTCCGTCGGGAGGGTTGGTCTTCGTCGGCGTCTTTTAATTTTCTTTAACACTAAGTAGCACACATTCAAAATATTATTATTGTCATTTGTCATTGCTGTTGACTCGATAAACCATGGCGACATCGCTTGCGATTGATCGTGGATTTGTTGGTCGTTATACAGAGGAGAGGAGATTAGAGTGCCATAGCTTCCGATCGAGAGAGATTGAAAGACAGAAAAGGGGTTTTGGATTTGGGAGGTATATATGTTGGATGATATGTATCTTGGGTTCATTTGTTCTGCGGAAATACTAACTGTGATTGAACTAATAGTCTCATATATTTGATTGTAGATGGGCTCCAATAAAAGAGGTAATTAATGTCATAGCCTATATCTAGTTACTCCACTGCATGAAAAAAGAAAGATAAAAAAGGAAAAAAAAAAAACTGTATTTAGTAAGTACAGTATGTATTACAACGCTGTCTGTAAATATTGGTTGTTTCATCATTTTATATATTTAAAAGGAAAAGCACCCAAAAATATTGTCAAATAAAGCCTGAAACTGACTTTGGTTTGGTTTGGTTTGGTTTTTTTTTTTTTTTTTTTAACAAAGATAATGATTAGTAAGTTAGTAGAATTAGTTTATTAGCAGCTGAGATTTCTTAGAATGGTGAACATTCCACCCCTTATATTGTGCACGTGACTATTAAATCGCAAGTTGATGGAGTTCATGATGATAGCAGTGGTCAAAACCCTGACCTGTGCTTCACCCAAGCCAACCATTGGGCCTCAGACTTTGGTTTGGTTTGGTTTGTTCATGATAGTTGATACTTGATAGACCATCAAAATTAGCCGAATCATATACACCTTAAATTAACTTTTCCAATCACTAAACTAGCTATTTAAAGAAAAAAGATTATAAATTGTTAAAATCAATCAAACCAAACATACCCTTCAGGGCAAAGCAAAGAATAAAATAGTGCGTTTTTGTTGAAGTTGAAATTGGTTGGAGAGAAGGCGATGGGCAAAATAGTCAATTTAATTAAAAATGACAAGTTTGTGGCAATAAGCCAACAACCAGAGCCGCACCGAGCTTCGGCGTTTGTTTTATAGAGAATTGGGATTCAATTCTGTTAATCTTTAATTTCTCTGCTCTCGCCATTTTTTCGCTCACAGCTCGCTTTGGGATTTTCCCCTTCAATTTCAGGTAAGCAACGTATCCAATCTCTATATTTTGTCACTTTTTTATCTCCTTATTAACTCTGTATCCCCACAAGAGAAGTTTGATTTTGAATTCCTAATTTGTGAGAAAAGCACAATATAGATCTTTTGGAATTGAAACCCTAGGGCTCTGAATCTGGGATTGAATTGAAGCTGTTATAGATTCTGAATCTGTTCTTTTTTTTCTTTTTTGGATTTCCCCGATTTTCATGTTACTTTGAAAACCCTAATTTCTTCCTGCCATTTTTTTTTTTCTATTCTCAGGTTTTTGATTTGATCTACCTGTTGGTGCAAGATGCCGGCCACGGCAGGTAGGGTTCGAATGCCCGCAAACAATCGGGTGCATAGTAGTGCAGCCTTGCAAACCCACGGGATTTGGCAGAGTGCGATTGGTTATGACCCGTATGCACCTAACAAAGATGACTCCAAGGGTTCTTCGGATCCCAAGTCGTCCAATGTTGAACCTGAGGCTGAGAATGCGTATGCCAGCTTTCAGGGCCTTCTGGCTCTTGCTCGCATCACTGGGTCTAATGCTGATGAGGCTCGTGGTGCCTGCAAGAAGTGTGGTCGTGTTGGGCACCTTACGTTTCAGTGTAAGAACTTTTTGAGTCTTAAGGAGGATAATAAGGAGAAAGACCCAGAAGCCATTCAGGCTGCGGTTATGTCTGGATTGGATAAACTGAAGGGAAGCAATGGAAAGAAGGTGGATGAGAGCGAAGAGGAGAGTGAGGAGGAAGAGAGTGAGAGTTCGGATTCAGATGTGGATTCTGAGATGGAGAGGATTATTGCTGAAAGACTCGGGAAGAAGACTGCTACTAAGAGGAAGTCTTCAAGAAAGCAGAAAGAAGACTCTGATTCCGATGGCTCAGATTCAGATTCTGCTGTGAGGAAGAAAAGGGGGAGGTCAAAGAAAAGGAGTAGTAGGAAGAGGGGCTTCAGTGATTCAGAGGATGAGGAGGAAGCTAGAAGGAAGAGGAGAAAGGAGAAGAGGAGGAAGAGGGATGAATCCTCAGACGAGGATGATGAGCGTCGACGCCGTAAAAGGAAGAGCAGGAAGGATAAGCGGAGGAGGAGAAGTCATAGAATATCCCATGATGCTGATTCTGATGGATCTGGTGATTCTGGCAGACGTCATAAGAGAAAGAGCCGGAGGGCTGCATCGCCATCTGATTCTGATGTCAGGAGCTCAGATGATTCAAGGGTTGGAAGGGATGCCAAGCGCTCTGAGAAGAGGAGCAGGAAACGTCATAATGAAGAGGATGAGTATTGACTTCATGTGAAAGGTAATGCTTAAGCTTTTTCGTAGTCTGGTTTCTCATTTTAGTGTTGACATTTAGTGAATGAAATGAAATGGTGGATGAGCTTGCTACCATGTATCAGACTTCTATTATGTGGTATATGTGTTGCCGATGCAAGACTATGTCATCTAAATATTAACGTTTCTATTCATAATTAATTAATTTTCTTTTCTTTTCTTTTCAGTAAGTAATTGAGACATTTTTGCTTTTTAACAGGGATTATTTGCATTCTTGTGCATGGTTTTGCATTTTTAAAACTGATCTTCATTTGGTTCTATTCATATTGTAAATCTTATGTAACTGATTCCTAGCAAATTTTTGGAGTGAAAAAAAAGGGAAAGCACACTATTAGATGAAAGCTTCATGAATTACTACCGTCAAATGTTAGAAAACGAAAGAGGGAAATATACTTCTAAAACTCATTTGATTGTAATGCAGAGTGAAGAAAGTTGAAAGGGATAGATAGGTGGCATGGCTATGTATCTGCTCTTCTTCAATGAACCTAATTAGTAAATCCAGTGTTGGTCATTCGGAGTTGAGTCTTTGCATTGTGACTCTGAAAGGCACACTGACCAGTTCCCACCACTCTTCTAAACCACTCAAAGATGAGGGGTCTATAACTTTATATGCATGATTACAACTTGTAAGAATCTGGGATTCACATCTACGTTATGCTGTTTTGTCTAGTGAGGATTATGATATGTGATTCTGTTTTTTCTGAGTGATGTAAAGCAGTCTGCGAAGGTGGTCCAAAATATGAAACTTCCATTCAAACACAGAAAACATCACCCGATTGGAATGACAATCCCAGTGTCAATAAAGCATGTGATATTATTTTAGATTATTGAGTGCTTTCTTTTGCGTCCTTGCTCTCTACTGGTTAATATGTTCTTATTCTATACTGCATTTGCTCCCATTTATTTTAGAGCAGAGAGGTACAGCCTTTAAAAGGGTTTTTCGGTTGCTTAATTTAAGCTTTTGTTAGTTTGTAGGGTTATGAAGAAATGGATGTGGCGATTGGATGTGAAGTTCTATGTTTCACTGGGAGAAATGAACTGAATGGAAATGTTGTTGTGTAAGACTGCAGAAGACAATCCATTCTCGCATTTTAAAGTTTAAACTTTCTTGTTGGCTTGTTCCAACTGGAGGGCAGTTTGTCGTGCAATGTGATGTGTTTAAAAATGCTTTGTTGGCCGGTTTTTGCACCTTCTCATGTTGGATTGTATTTTCTTGATCATGGTATTGTGATTATGATTTATTTTTGGTACATCGCAAAGTTAGCAACTTGGCAATATAGAGGTTTAAACATTTAATCTTGACAGCTTAAACTCAAATGAAGGTTTTTAAGTTAGTTGATAACAACTTAGTCAAGTTCTTGTTAATATATTGTGCTTATGATAATCACATGTAGTTCAGCCTGCTCGCTACCCTGCTTTTAAGCTTATTCTCAACAATATTTCCAGAAGGGAAGAAGGGGAGTGACAAGCTAAACTTATAAAATATATATAATACTACAAAAGTTTTAGCTCTATTATCAAATTTTCTTCGTCCCTTGCAAATAATCAAGGCTACTTGGACAACTTCTCAAGTTAACTTACAGATAGACAAACAATTTTGTTGGAAATCTAATTCATTAGGCTTAAATTAAAAGATTACACAGGCATCAAACCTGAAATGTCAATGAAAGATCTTTAGTAAACAAAAGCAAAAACCAAAATCTGAATCCCATCCAGGTTGGTTCGATGGTGCATTTGTGCTTTTAATCTTGTGTTGCTGCTTGAGCATTGAGCTCGGCGAACCTCATGCCTACACGTATAGAGTGCTTTAAGAACTTCTCAGCACAACGCTGGACACAGGTTTCCTCTTGCTTCTGTAGAGTTTTGCGTGTAAAGTTATCCACGCAGTCATTGAAGCATCTCTCCACAAGTGAATTATACATCCTAAGACTGCATTTTCAATTTCGGAAAATAATTAGACACAATGTAGATACCACACATCACAACTTCAAAAAAATTTATGTGCAGTCTGCCTTAAGTGGGCAGCACACTTTATAACCATTGATAAGAAGCGGACCCCATATTTGAAGGGTACTCCCTCCATCAATCGTTATAATGGCTATAAAATCTGCAGTCCACCAAAACAGCAATCTCAAGAGTAATTTTTATCAGGTGCAAATCTATAAATCTGCAATGTGCAAAGAAAAGGCACAACCTAAATAGCAGTTCGCAGAGTGAATGAAGTTTTTAACATGTATGAAAGCACAAATTTTCAGAGAAGACTAATAATTAGTTCATCTAAGAGGGAAACTAAAATACACAAAAGTGTCGTTCCCAAAACGTCCAGGTCAATATAAGAACTGCCCTGGTTTTAAGGAGAACATGAATTTAGCTTCACATCAAAGGGGCACAGAACACATAAGTCAAATTCGTGACCTGCGTTTTCCACAAAATGAGATGCGAAGCAGGAAAAGCAGAAACAACAATCAAGATACCCAAAAAAAAAAAAAAGTGTCTACTACAACATTGAATACGAATGAACTAAACCCATCACCTAAAACAACAAACTAATTCTTCAGATCATTATTATTACAGAAAAATCGAATCTTTCAAAAAATTTTCTCACTCCCAACAACCTAAATCGTAGAAACCAAAAGAGAACTGAGTCACCTGTCGCGCATCTGGAGATGATCGATCATGGAGGCCATTCGGACCTTATCTTCCTCAGGAAGACCCTCGAGTCCTGCTAGCATGTTCTTATCCATACTGGATCCAACCGGCTTCTTCGATCCCTCCTAAGTTAAACGCAGGGAACAACGCGGGGGTTTACGGGAAGGGCTTAGCTTTTTTATTTATTTATAGTTATGATGTTAACAGAAACCCTAGGAACAGAAAAAAGGCGTGCAGAACCGGTAACAAAATGGCGTGGGCTATATTATGTTTTACTTCTTAATGGGCCACAGCCTGCAGAACCAAATTTAATTCTTTAATGGGCTCCCTGCAGGGGCTTGGAGATGGGCCATGGGCCGATTTTTTATTAAGAACAGCAACAGACGTGAAGATGAAATCGGCGGATCGCCAGCGAAAGCTACGGCATCGCGGTGATGGTGATTTGGTAAACGTGTCGATTAAAGGTAAAATACATGGAAATAATCTTTTGTATTTTTTTAAATATATATATTAATCTTGATCCTTAAAAAAATTAAAATTTTAATATTAAATTAAAATATAATTT